CTAACAAATGTGCTATCTAGTTAAATGAATCATTTATTTCATCGCTCCAATTTTATCATCTGAAGTTAGATTCTATGTATTTCAATATGAATAATTACTGAAGTGAGTTTCTAACCAAAGTGGTCTATAAAATTTAGCGTAGAATCTTAAGGAGCAAACAGTAGAGTAAAATAGTAGATACCTTGGCAGAATTAGATGGTGGTTATCAGTGGAATCCAGGATGCAAGTTTCGTCCTATTCGAGACTCGTCAGATGGACAATAATAATACTAGTAACTTAAAGTCAATATTGAAGCAATCTGCACAGGGTGCATATATGCCAAAGAGACTGACTGATTAAAGTCCTAAACATCAATGGAAATACTCAAACAACCAAAACAACTCAATCAATAACAATATCTTTTGAATTCCTTGAGAAAACTAATTACTCTCTTGAAGATTTGAATTCGTTGTATTAGGTATTAGAACCATTGGTACTTAACTTCAAACTTTAAACATAAATGTCATAAATGCCTTATAACTAAAGATCTTTGTGTTCTACACCATTCGTATTCATACAGACCACTGTGAGTTGATAATTTTACACGTTAACAAAGGACTTGATTGTGAACAATTTGGTCTCGTGTGTTCTTATGGATATGAGGGCTGATGTTACTTCCCGGCTGCCCACACTGTGCAAGGATTCTGGTTGTCAGGAGAGGCATCGGCCTTATGACTTCCTTAGGAACTCGGCTTTCATCATGAGACGTCATAATTCTTCTAAATGAAGACTTAACTCAACTCCCAGAGCAGAGCTTATATGGTTTGAATTAATTCTTCTTGATAGCGTTTTTTTCGCGAGTTCGTCTTTTGCGGGATGGGGTTGCCAACCCTCCTTTATCCGGGCTTGGGACTGGCAATAGCCCCGAAGGGTCTGTAAGCGGAGTTGTTGATTTTTGTTGTTGTTGTTGTTGATCGATTGATTGATTGACAGGTTAACAAAATTGACCAGCTCGCAAGTTGTTTTTTTCAACGTCAATATTCCAAATACATTGACAAAGACAAGACACAGATAATTCCGTTTCTTTTACAAACAATTATTAAATAACTGAAATATAATCTGCTATCAAACTGAACAGCTTCAGCATATAGAATACATTACTTTCTAGTGTTTCTGTTTTACTTTTTTTGCATAAGTAATCAACTTTTTCTAAGAATTTTCAAACTACTTCCTACTCATGTTTCTATCAGTTGTGCACTATGGCAAAGAAAAAAGAAAACAGTAGCAACTGGATTATTTATTATTTTAATTTCAGTAAATAAATATATGTATCATTTTCTAATTAGAATATTGTGTTTAGTTTTTTTCTCTTATTAATTATTTTACATTTCACTGTTGTTGTTGTTGTTAATTTTTGGGGTGTATGTGTGCGTGTGTGCGTGTATACACAAAGTAGAAAACAGGTTTCTCTTATTATTATTATTATTATTATTATTATTATTACTCCTTGGTTGTTAGTGCTGTTTGCCATGACCAGAATACTGCTACCACTACTACTACTACTACTACTACTACTACTACTACTAATCATCATCATCATCATAATAATAATAATGATAAATCACACATAATGAATAGTTTCTGTTTGCCAGATAGCTATACAAATGTTTAGTAAATTATCGGCAGTTATTTATGTATCTGTTTAGTTATTTACATATTTATTTTGTTTTGAATCTACTACCCACCTATTTATCTACTCATCTTTTTTATTTTGTAAACAACGTTAAGTATATTGGACAGAACTGTATTGTATATATTTATATATATTATATGTACATAAATGTGTAGATAGATATTGTGCTCCGATTAAAAACATGATAAATTTATTTGTATGATTATGCTTGTCGACATCTATACATGCTTATATTATCCACATGTGTGTGTGTTTTGTGTGTGTTTGTGACAAGTGAGTGTTATGACAAATTGATTTTACCTGTTTTAACATGTTCGATTCCTTGATAATTTTCATCCAATAAAAAAAAGTATAATGAAATTGGTTAGTTGCTATTTCTGCTGTTATTATCATTAGGCTTGTCATCATCATCATCATCAACAACAACATTATTATTATTAACGGTATCATTCAAATATTCTTTTTCTCTCAATGTTCGTAATTTCATTCTATTAGAAAGTGAATGTTTCATTTTGGTTTTCCAAGGTTGTTTTGTTGTTTACAGTTTTTACATTCTTAGAAATTCACATTGATAATGTGTCGACGTACAAAACATACATTTAATCATGTTTTCATTTGAGAAAAAAAAAACTGTTTTATTGCGGAAAAAATTAATTATACTTGATAAAAAAATTTTTATTCGATTATTCATATCGTTTTTTTAGCAGAAAAAAATGATAGAAAATAAAATTTTTGAAAAAAGCACATAATGATATATTTTCTTTAGAATATTAAATTTTCTGTTTTTCAACAAAAAATAAAAATTAGTCACATTATTTTAACAGGATAAAGACTCAGATGAAAACAAACAAACGCAGAAACTATGTAATATCACTGATACCTTTAATCGACAATTTACTCGATATAGTCATTACAAACATTTTCTGTTTATAATATTTAATCATATCACTCGGAATTTGAAGAAAATTCTTAGAATAGTGTTCTTGTGTTGTAGTGCAAATATTCCCCAACTAAGTTACATCATCTAAATGTATGAATGAATGAATATATTCTAGAACGAAATAGCTATCCGTCATTTTTTTGCTTCCGAACAAGTTCTCTGACGGAAAGACTTAAATTTAAACAGCTATTCATGATTTACGTCTGATAAAAATTTTTTCTTAAAAACGGACAATTAATCTCTGTATTATCACAGCCTTAACTTCTATGTCGAAATTGTTTTCTTTTGAATAATACATATTTTATCAAACAGACATCACTGATGGTACCAGTAGTTCAGTATTGTGAATCGATAAAAATTGAACATGTTAACTGTTAACTACTAGCTAACTGATCTAAAATTAACGAACACGCTTCTGAATGCTCAAAAATCTTCAATTTACTTCTTAATGACATGAATCATTTTTAAACTACAAAACAGTTTACTGTAAAATTTCCTACTATTATAGTTCAAGTATCATTTATCATTTTTCTATAAATAAGCTTATCATTCAAATATTCAACTGTTTTCGCATCTCTTCTTGGTCTTCCTCTGCCAACTGCTATGTTTCCAAATTTATTATTATCATTTTAAATTTTTTTTTCACTAATTTACCTATTCAGTCGAATCTTAAGTTCAATCCCAAATCTTTTCAGTTACTACTAATACTATTACTATATTCACTACTCTAGGATACGGCTCGACAATTCCATTTCTCTATGCTAATACGACATGATAACTTGAACTGATATATGTAGTTACCAAGTTTTATGTTGTAATGGACTGACTGGTTGTTCAACTTTTCAGAGTTATGCAAAATTAAGCTTACTTTGAATAGAGAACATTTTTAAATTAACTTGTAAAATATGAATTTAAATTTGATGAAAATCTTCTCATAATTATTATTTAACATTTAAAATAATCTGAAAGATTAGTTACACTTTTAAATATCATTCCATTTTTCGATATAATCATTATTTTCTCATTTTTCAATACTACACAATATTTCTAAATATGTGCAGGTATGCTTAACTAAAATATGTTCAGTTTATTAGACATAAACATTAAATACAAACCTATATACCTATTAGAATTAAATGAAAATGTATTGACCTACAAACTTTTAACATGTCTGACAGTTTTGTCTATTACTCAATTAGATGTATTCAAATTATGTTGACAGTCATTGATTCACTGAATTAAATACTAATGACGTTGAAATTGCTCAAGTTATCTTTTTATTCCAAACTTTTTATGTTAATATTATATGAATTACTGCTACTTCTTCAGTTTGAAGATAATTTGCAATACGTACCAATATTAAATGATCTTTAGATTAGGAATACACTGTTATACATTTTTAATTCCATTTTGTTTAGCACCATAAGATGTGGGAAAATTAGTTTACTTCAAAGAAACAGCCCTTTACTGCTTCCAGGTTTCTAATGTCGGTCTAACACTGATCAATTCGTAATTTCAATGCAACTCAACAATTTCCAACACTCTATAATGACAAATATTAAATAATTTAAAAATCCAATTTCGTATAATATGAAAGATTGAACAGTATCGAAAATTATCTTGTAACAATATTAAATGCTTTTTTTTTATTTAAAAACACTTTTATACATCATAAGAATTTTATTTCTGATCTGTTGGTTTTCAATCTTTCAAACCTTAACTGAACAATGACTGAACTTATGAAAACGGTTTTTAATATAACTGAAATCATGAATCGACCGTTGTTTCGTCCTGGTATGGGACTAATGAACAGTGCGCATCCACGACTCTTGCTACTCGTAGGATTCAAACATTTGTTCTTGCGTGCGAACGCCTAACCTCTGGACCAGTGGGCAGGCATCCAACTGTGTTATTGTCTATGATCAATCTAGGGATTTTGCGAAACCTTTTATGGAGAATATTTAACAGTAAATAAGTTTTTAACAAATATAGGATGCTTTTCAAAGCGAATTAAATCTAGCCTGATTATTTTTTTTCAGTAAAAGTGCATTTAATTTATTAATAATCTTATCTTCTCATCTGTTTCAATGAAGTATTATTTTGTTTTCTTTGTATTTAGAAATTTCTAACTTTCAAAGTGTACTAAGTTTACATTCTGTCGTATAGATAAGTTGTATAATTGAACTTATGCTTAATTTCTGCAAAACAAATAATCCTATTTAGTATATTGTCAAAATTCATTAATGATTGATAACACAACCAATCAAATGAATTTCATTTCGAACGTTTTATTAGTGAAATTTTTCGCATAATAAATTTGTAATTAGTAGCAATGTTTATTCAGTTTTTTTTCTTGTATCTTCTATTTTTTTTTCGAAAAAAATCTAGGGTTTCTTTCGTCGAAGTATTCAAAAACAAATTGAATATAAATGTTTAAGAGATGGAAAATGTCTTGTAATACGTTTAAATCGTAATCGTTGTCAATATTGCCGTTTTCGTAAATGTCTTGCTGCTGGTATGTCAAAAGATAGTGTACGATATGGTCGAATGCCAAGACGAACACGTGGCTCTGATTGTGGAAGAGATAATACCGATCAATTAATGCCAATAGCGCATAATTCATCTACAACTTCAATGAGAATTGATTCAACTATTGGTAATGGTAGTGGACATGTCTCAGCGTTTATTCCACCACCTTCATGTACCACAGAAATATCAGGTAATTCACGTGTAACTGGAACAGTAATGGCAGCTGGAAAAACAACAAATACTACTACTAATACTGCTGCTGCTGCTGCTCCTACTCCTGTTACCGGTCGTTATGGTGTATGCAGTAGACCACCGAATGATCATCTTGGTTTATATGAAACTATTTTAACTATAAGTCAAGCTTATCAAAATTTCTCACCGTATACCGATGAAAAAATTAAATTGATGCGATGTAGACCAATCACTTTGGTAAGAATTTACTTTCTTCTATATTAAATATGTATATATGCCTAATTGTTAATTGGACCGAGATGCATCTTTATTCAAATAATGTATAATAATTTGTTTCCATTGCCAATTAACATTTAAAATTTAATATGTTCAATTATAAAGACATTTTTTTTTACATGCTTTGATTGAATACACATTTCCAATGAGGATACATTTCAATGAACAAGCTTTATTATAGCATGAACTAAGGAAGAAATAACAACAAGAATGTTTCAAGTTTGTTTTTTCACACTTATGATATATTTCAAGAAATTTTCTCTATTTAGGGCTGAACTATTCTAATTTGATTGATATTCTTTTTCTTATTTATTAAAAGATTACTGAATATTCAAATTAGAATGATTGTGACAGTAATTGATTGCCCGGCTATACTTTGAAATCATTAGTTTATCGAATTGTTTGATATTTCAAGTTTATATTAACTAAGTGTGCAGGATTAAGTAGATTTTTACTATCCGCTTCTACTGTACTTCTAATGACTATTTCATTCATTTCAATATATAATTTCAAATGTTTAATTTCTCAGTCAGTTAGTCAGTCACAACGTAGAAATTCGTACGTACGTACGTACATCAGTTCAAATCCAATAGCAGTAGAGTTAGTAGAGGTTTTAAAACTATTAGAGAAGATTAGGGAGAAAAAAGGTCATCACAAATTCGGAAGATTAGAATTTGAGCGAAGACAAAGAATAGATGAATCTGCGCCACACTGTAAACGATTTTGAGTAATATCATTTATTCTCTAACCACCGGCTACAATTATCTTGTGGACTCCAACTAGGTAGTCTACATCTACTAATATGGCTCAGTCTAGTTGTCATTGACTACATAGATTTGTGTTATATTCTGGTTTAGCCACATCTAGCTTTCTTCTAGCCTATTACATCAGACAACATCGCTCGTTGAGGTTAGATATATGTATTAAACTCAGATAATTATAATTCTGTATGGAACAATAGCTTGTTCAATAAACAAAACCGTAACTCTTAATTATATCGGAAATTCGGTCTTAACTTGATCTGCTTTTATTTAAGTGATCGTATATTAAGTTCTTTACATTAGTAAAAGTAGTAGTATAGTTTAGTGTTGAATGCATAAATTTTTTCTCATTAAATGAGTTACATTATTATTTTTAATAACCATGTCACCATGACTTAAAAGAAGACAAGACCAATTTGGTCGTTTTGATCAACCATTACTTTTTCAAATCGTTTAAAATTGCCAACTTGTTTTTATTTTCCTGTGAAAATTATGAAGAAACTATTAAAACCTTCAATTTAGTCCAGTATAGTTTTTCATCTATCTCAGTTTTTTTTAAATTACCCTCATATTTTTCAGGGTGTATCGTTATGATTTAATGAATTCATAATTCAACTGTGAATAGTATTATCTGTTTCTATTGCATGTATAGATCAGTAGGTGTTTCAACTTTTTTTATTATTTTGTTAGTTAGAAAAAAAAAACAATTATCTCACCATAAACATCATCAACCTTTTGATTCACCTACCCATATGAAAACACATGCACACACACACACATCTACAAAAATATACACAGCATGAAACTTTATTCGTTCTCCTTTGTTTTCTTTCTGTAGAAAAATTCTGCTCTTATATTATCTAGTAGTCATTTAAACACAATTTTCCACTAAACATCTTAATATTGTCTTTACTGCGGAGCCTAATCAAAATAGTCAAGTAATTATGTTTAGTTAAAATTTGATTATTGATTTGTTCATTATGGTTCCTGATGAAAATTTACTACATTGAAGATGTCTATGATTAATTTGAAGTCTACTGTAATGCGATTCTCTAGATCTTTGACCATATTTTATCCTGTAGCATTCTCATATTATAGTTGTTCAATGATCAGTTCATTTAGTTTATTTTGTGAAAGTAGATGAATCTGTCAACTGACGTATTTGTATATCGTTTAATTCTCCCTTGTAATGAAATAGATGATATATGTAAAAGGCGAAAATGTTATTTTGTTTTATAATTGTCACCATAAACCAAATTTAGTTAAATAATTATTGAATACTATTTCGGGCTTCGGACATTTAAATGGTTCTGCTAGGAGTCACTGAGTCACTCACAAACGTGTGATGTTCATGCCCTGGCACGGGTTTATTGCCTTTATTCTATTGAGTTACTATCTAATGGTTACTAATTCATGTTTTTCCAAACCAGCGATAAACGGTCTTGTGACAGTTTAACACTTTAGTCAACTGTTACTCATGAAGTCATATTCTATTTCACCTTATTCTTAGCTACGTAGTAGCTTAACAATATTGTGCTTGGTTAATAACATAATTAGATATTTGTCTCTCTCGAGTATTTGCATCGATTTAGGGAGATGATAATTGCAATTATACCAACATGCATAATCTGTTCATGAATTTATCAATTTTTAGATCCAGTCATAGTAAAAGATATAAAGATTCTAATGGTATAGATTATCCATTACTTATTTACCCCTTAATCTTGCACTCATTATTCCCATATGTTTTCCAGTCCTTTTGAACTACAATTCTCATATTTATTCTCCCACTATTTATAATATCTCTATGCATTTGCCTATCATCTTGTTAATGTTCTGTTGTTATACTGAGATTGAATGTTATAAATCGGACCGTTACATATGTATGCTAGGTAATATGCTGTTTTGGAACTGGTAACTATTAATGTTTAAATATATTAAATTAATTCACTCGGTCAAGCTACAGTGTGGCCAATCCACAGGATTGGCACTGACAGGCATTCATCTCCGAAGCCTGCCTGTAATCTTGACGGCACTGACTCCCCACATTGGATTTAAACTTACATCACCCAATTTCACAGCCTGGGACTTTACTACCGAGCTAATCAGGTCTGAAATCCTGAGGAACATCACTTCCTTCAAAATTATAGACAGACTTTGTTGATGAGTGCTAAACAGTGCGAAACCTTTAGTCATCTAGCATTTATCTATTCCACGAAGTCTACTCAGTTCGATTTTACTTTATCCCTCTTACAGCTTTCATTCATCAATTCTCTTACAACTATAATGTTTCACCGGTCAATTGTGATTTGCTTCTTTTTTTTTAACCTACATTGTCACCGTTAAATTTACATTCTAGTTTACGACATAAGTTTTTTTTAGTAATTTCTTTAGTTAAAAACTGGTAAGAGAAAAAAAATACCGACACAATACATTTACTCATTTCAGTTTGTTTTACAATATGTTTTGTTTATGAAGTAAAAAATTAACTGTAACTGAAATTAGTATTCTGTACACATAATGTATGTTATAGAATATGATTATGTATTGCATATATATAAGTGTATGTGTGAGAGAGGCAGAGTTGGTTTCTCTTAGCAATTTATTTTACTCTCTTAATCATTCATTTACTTTGTTTCATTTTATGTATTATTTTCAATTTACTTTCTACATAACCTTATTTTATTCCAATAGGAGAAATATGGCATTTGTGTGTGTTTTAAAAGACACGTAACGTAGAAATTCTGTTATGCCTTTATTTTCATGCGTCCTTGTTTGACCCCAACATGACCTTGTGTGATCGTTGGCCCAGTCTTCTATTCCTCTATTCACTTTTTTTTTCGTGTATAATAAATATTTCTGCCCTCTGAACTTACCTATATGATGATTCTAATGATGTTGGGGATGACGATGACGATGATGAATGTGATTTTAATAAATTTCTACTCCCCATAGCATCTAACTCTCTGATGGGCATTCAATGGAATAAATAAATGAACCAATGAACTTGCATTGGATTTACTGACTAGGAGAATTTTATAGACTAGACTTTGTATAATAAGATTTACTTTTAGGTATTGCATGACAAGAGATGTTGAAAAGTAATAGTAGTAATAATTTTAGTTATTTCATTCTCAGACTATGACGTTTTGAAATACTATTAGATATGCAATTGCCATATATATATATACAGAATACCATTTACTGATATAATGTGAATTAATGAGAAGTTGTGTTTATGTTGTTTATCATTATAATTTTAACACTACATAGTTAATCATTACAGCGCTCATACACAAATATGTACCAACTGTGTTTAAGTGTGTTAGTCATCACATTCACTCATAACTAACACACAAGCACTAACATATGCTTACATAAATGTTCACCTTTGTATTTTTCTATGTGTGTAGATGAAAAGAAAACAGGCAGACAGTTACATTTATTATTTTGTGTATTATGTAACAGAAGTTGCAGGTTATTGTTTCATGATTTTAAGTTACTTGTGTAGCTTGATGTATTGTATGCTAGTTAACTAGTCTGAAATAGAATTTTGAATACATGTTACTGATAAGATTTTCTTGAACCGTTTTTTATGGTTTTAGCAGTAAATTAAAAAAAAAAAATTTAAATAGTTAAAATTGTGGCATAGATCAACATAGATCTTGAAAATAGTTTAGGCTTTAATTTTGATTTATTTTACATGTTTATCAATAGAGTAATACTGTTCTGACAATTAATGTTACTATTAAATAAGTTGAATTTTATTCAGCTGTAAATAGCGATTTAAACAGCATCGGTAATTATAAAAATAATTTATATTGAAATATTTGCAGAGAGTTGTTTCGTAACATGAAATTCTAATATACCATTACTTACTTATTTATGCCTGTTATCGCTCATGGTGCATAGGTCACCGACCAGCAATCTCCATCCTACTCTGTTCTGGGTCTTCTTTCCAGTTCTATCGAAATGCTATTCCTTCTTATGATGTCTGTCTCCAACTCTCAGCACAGTGTGTTCCTTTGTCTACCATATGATGCAGCTGGATGATTTCCTCACTGTGTGTCCTATCCACTTCCAACGCTTTTTCCTAATTTCTTCCTTAGCTGGAATCCCCTTTGTTCTTTGCCAAAGTAGGTTGTTGTTGATAGTGTTTGACCAACGGATCAAAATTACGTAACTATTTATAAATACCTG